CTGTATTTGATTTTGATTGTGATGGATGTACCTGAGTGATCCGATGCTGTATGGCTGAGCGAGTTGGATGACGATGGCTCCGGAGCCCAGCTGGTGGCAGGTGTAGCCCGAGTCCCAGTCGTAGTTGCGCGTGTCACCGTTGAGCAAGGCATTTCTGCTGCGGCTCACTCCCTCGATGACGCTGGCACACGATGCGATGGTCGCCACGTTCTCACTCGGCACTGCAGACAGGAGGTCGTACAATTGATTTGGGGGAAACCAGTCTTGCCAACATTAGTTTTACTGTCATTTGAGATGTTAGTTTAAATTAATTGAAGATAAAGTTAAGTGCACTTATTGGAAAAACACTTTGGTTACCTAAGGTAAGATAAGACTTTATTTATCCAGAGGGAAATTGTCGTGCCAGAGTTACACAAATACAATAAACACAGCAGCATAATAATAAAACTGTAACAGTGCAGTAAAAAGAGCAATTAAATAACTACAGGAAACATAGACGGTCACATAATGAATGTAAATATCAACAGTATTTAGTAGTGCAAAAGAACGTAGTGGCAGATACGTAATTGCACGTTATCATAGAACATTATTCATAATATTGCATTATATAGCAGCAAGTGTTTTGTACCTACTGCTTATATAAGTTTACTTAAAATGTTGCTACTTATTTATTATTTGTTTAACTATGGATGCGTCCTCCTTTAATTAAATGACATGTGTGCTTTGCCACTTAATTCATTACGTCATCAACTCATTTTAAAATTTGACTTTTATCTGCATTGTCCCCCTTGCTGTAACAATGTAAAATGTCCCCACTGTAGGGACAGTAGATTTCTGATATGTAGCAAGGATGAAATGTGTTGTTTCTGGGTGTTTCTCAATCTCGAGTAAAGCTGCTCCAGAGCCACTAAAAGCAAATTACGTCATCGAGTGCCGCCGAAGGACTGTTCCAATGTCCAGCATACTTGGAATTCTACCGAGCCCGGCGTACTTCGTTTGGAGACATTTCGAGGCTGCACATGTGTAGACTCCGCGGTCTTAAAATCCCCACAATGCTTTGCGCACGGAAATCGGTGGGGGAAAATGTAAGGCGGGGCCTATGACGCACACCTGCACACTTGCTCGCCTGTTCCATTCTTCGTTTTCCGAGGCTAGGAAGTATTCTTGCCTCGCTTCTGAAGCAAGACGCTCGGAAGACATGTGCTACCAAGCAAGCGTACTCGACATTGAGAAACACCCTCCGTGTCTGAAACTTACCCAGAAGGCCGTTATCCAGGGTAAATGAGCGGTTGGTGAACATGCACTCAAAAGCCACGAGGTGGAAGACCTTGTTGACCGTGTTGTGAGTTCCCACAATGCGAACGTACCTGAGACACAAAGAAGGCAGGATGTGATATAGCAACACTATTTGATAAGACTGCATTAGTTTAACCTAGTAGTGCCAAATAAACCCGGTAACTAACGGTATATTTATTGTTTTAGGGTCAAATTGTGTTAACGCTATGGTTGGTTGGTTGTGTTAGTGTGATGGTGCAGCACCATTTTTGCATTATTCAGTGCAAGATTCAATCTCAAAGGAAACAACTTGAGCTATCTTCTGATTTGTTGGGATGTTTACACACTCTTATCTCGAACCACACATGCCCACAACACATTATCTAACATCTGGAGTGTCTCCGCTTCACCTTGATTTGTCTAACAAGGTGAAAACAAGGCTATTTGAACTCGAAAGGCACCGAAACAAGGTACTGAATTGCTTTCAGATGTGGTCTTATATGTCCTCTCTGAAGCAATTATAATGTGGTTTGTAAACACTGGGAATACAATCTAAATCAAGTACAGTCAACCTGCTCAAAACTCACTGTATTTGCCATGTACAACTGATATGGCAATTAGGGAAAAGGGCACACACTTCATGTTTGGCTAAAATGACAGTGATTAGTTTTGACTCAAACATTGCCTGGCTTGAAAGATGGCAAAATAGGGTTCATTTCTTATGTATGAACCCTGGTTTATTGTAAAAAGGCAGGTAGAACATGTACGAAATGCTATAGCTTGGGTAAAGGGATAATAACTTCACTAGGAGCCAATTGTTTACCTGCAAACTCGTGGTGTGAAGAATAGATTCTGCCAGGAGCGACAGAGGAACTTTGAATGATCAACAACACGAATCCAGTCCAGCTCATCCATAGACACCTCGATGTAGTAGGAGTAGGACCTAGAATAATCAAAGATAATATTTCAAATCATCCCACACACACAACCTTCTGATAACCCCCCTTACCACTCTGCCAATGCCAAGACGCACTCAACTACTTTAACAATTCATTTTTGTTTATCAATTTGATACTGCTTAAAGGTAGGGTAGGTAAGAATGGAGAAACCAGCTTGAGTGCGCTAGAATTTGAAAGTAAAAAACCGAAAAAAATCTGCCCCTTCCTTCAGACTTCCTTACAGAGCCCCTCCTCCAACACACACGAACGCGCACATGACCAATGAGGGCACGAGATAAGTTTGTGCACGAGATGGAAGGCTGACAGGCAGGTAGGCCATCCAGTTATTTTAGCCGGGCCGGCTCAGATGATTGGTCGTGCTTTTTACAGTACTACGGCTTCCACAGATGACATGTTGTATGTATTTATTGTCAAAGCATTTAATGTATTCATTGCTATCGGGATGTTAAGAGCATTCCATGGAATATAACAAGTGTTTCTGAAGTGAATTACCTACCCCACCTTTAAGTTTATACAGTAGCATAATTCTCTTGTTTCATTTCATTATTATTTTTTGTATTATTGTTTTACACGTTCGAAATAAATCAAATCAAAAAATCAAACTAGTGAGTGCATGCTTATTAGAAGAAGCCTGAACAAATATAATAAAAATGTGTCTAAAAATACATTTCCTGTTTGTCTTCCACTTCCTTTTAGATTCAAGATTCAAAGGTTTTATTGTCATATGCACAAAGCTACAGTGTATAAATGGCAATGATCATGCTTGTCATATGTCTATCTCCATAGAGGCTGAATCATCATGTTAATCACATAGCTATCATATGCCTAAAACAGTCCTGATGCTCTTCTAGGTAATCATACATCCTGTCATGTACACAGCTACAGTTGGGATACCTTTGTTATCATGTGTACTCTCATATTGGAAGAGTACATTCACTATTTTCCCAACACTAACAGTGCAGTAAAAAGAGCTAATTAAATAAGCAACGAGCGTGTCTCACCGGCTGTCTCTGTCCCACAGCAGCAGGCGCATGTGGTTGACGATGGACGACTGGCCCAGTTTGACCTGGATCCCGGCACGGCAGTCGTCCTCGATGGGATGTCTGGAGAAGCCGTGGTCCAGGTCGTAGTTCTGGGTGTCTCCGTCCAGCAGAGCGGACTTCAGCTCGCCTTTCACCACCTGAGCGCCGTACTTCATGGTGGCTATGTTCTCCTCGGGGACTGAAAACCATTGAAGAAGAAGAAATTATTAATGGATGAGGTAATAAGCCGGACGTTGAAGCCAGTTTTCATAGTGGCCAAACGGCGGTACTACAGAATCTAAATATCTTTATTAGTCCCACAGAGCCAAAGACAGCTTAATGTTAACTAAGAAGCATGCATAAAACAAATATTAAAGATACACAAATGTAAGAAAATTAAACAATTTACAAAATACACATCTGTAACAGTTCTGAAGATGTAGCAGCCAGGTATATATTGCACAGGAATTAACGGCATATATATAAATATATTGCACATAGTTGGTATTTAACAACACGGGGTGTTATAGTCTGTGTTGTCTGTCTGTATGAAGAAGAATACATTATTAATGGCGGAAGTAATAAGCCCTCAGGAAGTGCGGCGGACATTGAAGCAAGTTTTCATAGTGGCCAAACGGCGGTACTACAACTCCCGTGCCAAAAATACTTCTTCCCATTGACTAACATTGGGAAAGAGACGTCTGTAAATCAGCGGATCATTTTGTATAAGCTAAATAAACTACCCAGTATGAACTATTTTATAACCCTTATTATAATCATTAGGTCCTGAAAGCTGAATCCAGATTTATTTTCTCTCCATTCATTCTACTGAGCCGAGAGAGGGAGCTTGGGGGGCGGGGCTTAAGGGGTGGGCATTTTACGGCCCGCGGGCCACATCCGGCCCGTTGGCCGGCCTTGGCCGGCCCGTGTGAGGTTGATCATAAATTATAACATAATGAAAAAAAACAGCAACCTTTTCAACATAAAAGCAACACAGCTGTATTGCTTGCATGGCGTAAATACTTTTCTAACTGTGTTGCTTTTATTTTGAAAAGGGCGCTGCTGTTTTTTTTATTTATTTACGTAAACGCGCATGCCGTGAACAGCTACGAGTGATGCTGGCCGGCTAGTCCTCGAAATGTCCGCTAAGGGCAAAAAAAGAAAGATCGATACTGAATGCCGCGTTTTCAACAAGACATGGACCGCTAAGTATTTATTTACAGAAGTGAAAGGTAAAGCTGTGTGTTTAGTTTGTGGTGCGCAGGTCGCTGTGTTCAAGGAGTACAATTTGAGTCGCCACTATGCTACCAAACACGCAGATAAATACAAGAACCTGTCTGAGGAAGAGCGGGCAAAGGGGTCGGATGCTTTGCTAGCTAAGCTGCAAAGCCAACAACACATTTCCACAAAACATTCCACATCCAGAGATGCAGCTGTCAAGACGAGTTATGTCTTAAAAGTTAACCGTTTTCGGACGAAGAGTTCATTAAGGAGTGTTTGTTGGACACTAATATGCCCGGAGAAAAAGGAGGCATTTGAGAAAGTGCCGCTCTCCCGACGCACTGTTACGAGGAGAATTGAGGACATCGCGGGAAATCTGGAGCTTCAGCTGCAGAACAGAGCGGTCAACTTTGACTTTTTTTCCTTGGCTTTGGATGAGAGCTGCGATGTACGTGACACTGCCCAGCTACTCATCTCCCTACGTGGGATAACTACAGACTTCAAAATCACGGAGGAGCTGGCAGCCATGCAGTCAATGAAAGGTACAACAACAGGGAGTGATTTGTTCACGGAGGTAAATGCATGTGTGGAAAAGTTGAGACTGAAATGGGACAAGCTGGCAGGCGTGACAACGGATGGTTGTCCAAATCTGACAGGGAAAAATGTTGGACTATTGAAGAGAATGCAGGATAAAGTGACAGAAATTAACCCTGAGCAGAAATAGGTATTTTTGCATTGTATTATACATCAGGAAGTGTTGTGTAAGTCAGTGTTAAAAATTAACCATGTTGTTGATGTTGTAACTAAAATAGTTAACTTCATCAGGGCAAGAGCATTGAATCACAGACAGGTTGTTGCACTTTTGGAGGAAAGTGAGACTGAACATCGTGACATACCCTACCATGCAGCTGTCAGGTGGCTCAGCCTGGGCAAAGTGCTGAAAAGAGTATGGGACCTGAGAGAAGAGATTCAAGACTTCTGTGTGAAGAAAGGAAACGACATCACACAGCTTTCAGATGCAGACTGGATGGCAGACCTTGGTTTTGCTGTAGATGTGACTGCACTAATGAGTGAACTAAATGTCAAACTGCAAGGCAAGGGCCTTTTTGTGCATGACATGTACAGTGCAGTGAAGGCTTTCATGAGAAAGCTGCAGCTTCTCTCAAGCCAAATGGAGGACAACATTCTCACGCACTTGCCAACACTGAAGGAAGCCACACCATCAGCTGATCACCTCCAGAGGTACTCATCCATGTTAGAAGCACTGCATGGTGAGTTTTCAAGGCGATTTAAAGACTTCAAAACAGTTGAGAATGAAATGAACATGATCTTTTCCCCATTTACATGCCATGTGGATGATGCACCCAGTGATGTTCAGCTTGAACTCATTGACCTGCAGTCTGACACACTTCTGTCAGAGCACTTTAGGTCAGTCTCACTGCCTGAGTTTTACTCTTCCCTGAAAGAGGAGAACTTTCCACACATCAGGAGACGTGCTCAGAAGATGAGGGTCCTCTTTGGATCTACCTACATATGTGAACAGACATTCTCAGTGATGAAGTTCAACAAATCCAGATACAGATCCTCTATCACTGATGATCACCTCTCAGCTGTCCTTCGCATATCCACCTCAGACATTGAACCAGATTTCCGTGCACTTGTTCAAGCCCAAGACAGACTGGATTTTTCTCACTGAACAAGTAAAATTAACTGAAAAACAAAAATCAAAAGCACTCATTTCTTTTTGTATAAAGCTGATTAATTTCTTATCTTTAACATACTGTAAAACACCTTTTCAGTATTGGTATATTGAGCAGAATTAAGTTCAACTTATTTTTGATTCGGCCCCCCAACACAGCTCGAGTTTCTGAAGTGGCCCCTTGTAAAAAATAATTGCCCACCCCTGCTCTATAAGCTACATACAGGTACTTCCGCTCTGACAGCAAGGCATGATGGGTAATCTGTGACGTTTTGCTCTCGAGAATCTCAGGCCATTTTGTCTTCATGCTCCAATGAGCAGCTCTCATAGGAAAGAACGAGGCCTCCGACGCTGTATCCAGTTCTTATTAAACATCCATGTGAAGTAATAAGCCCCCATGAAGTGCGCCAGACGTTGAAGCAAGTTTTAATAGTGGCCAAACGGTGGTACTACAACTCCTGTGTCAGTCCGTGACATCACTGGGCCCAAAAATACTTCTTCCCATTGACTTACATTGGGAAAGAGACTGAGTACTTCTCCCACCTCTGGTAATATCTATGGAGAAACAGATGAATAAACTATATAAAGTGCTTGATTAGATGAGGAGCACTCACTGAGCATGCCGCGGTAGTTCAGGTCCATGTTGCGGCTCTCTGACCGGGTCTTGATGGCGTCCAGCAGGTCGTCGGGGCTCAGCAGACATGACGGTCGCACCGTGTTCAGCATCTCGGTCAGAGTCATGAGCGGCAGCCGCACCGCCGCCATCACTTCCTGGGTGTCCACGCCTTCCTCGTGCTGCCGGCACCAACGACTCAACGCCAGGAAGATCTCCTTCTCTGTGGCAGCAAACGAGTCCCGGCTCACCACCGTCAGCAGGGCCGTCTGCAGACAGAGACGTTTACTTAAAGGTCACCTATTATACAAAATCCACTTGTTCATGTCTCTTCTACATCAACATGTGTCCCCTCTTCTTCATGTCTCTTCTACATCAACATGTGTCCCCTATTTTTCATGTCTCTTCTACATCAACATGTGTCCCCTCTTCTTCATGTCTCTTCTACATCAACATGTGTCCCCTCTTCTTCATGTCTCTTCTACATCAACATGTGTCCCCTATTCTTCATGTCTCTTCTACATCAACATGTGTCCCCTCTTCTTCATGTCTCTTCTACATCAACATGTGTCCCCTCTTCTTCATGTCTCTTCTACATCAACATGTGTCCCCTCTTCTTCATGTCTCTTCTACATCAACATGTGTCCCCTCTTCTTCATGTCTCTTCTACATCAACATGTGTCCCCTCTTCTTCATGTCTCTTCTACATCAACATGTGTCCCCTCTTCTTCATGTCTCTTCTACATCAACATGTGTCCCCTCTTCTTCATGTCTCTTCTACATCAACATGTGTCCCCTCTTCTTCATGTCTCTTCTACATCAACATGTGTTCCCCTCTTCTTCATGTCTCTTCTACATCAACATGTGTCCCCTCTTCTTCATGTCTCTTCTACATCAACATGTGTCCCCTCTTCTTCATGTCTCTTCTACATCAACATGTGTCCCCTCTTCTTCATGTCTCTTCTACATCAACATGTCTCTTCTACATCAACATGTGTCCCCTCTTCTTCATGTCTCCTCTACATCAACATGTGTCCCCTCTTCTTCATGTCTCTTCTACATCAACATGTGTCCCCTCTTCTTCATGTCTCCTCTACATCAACATGTGTCCTCTCTTCTTCATGTCTCTTCTACATCAGCATGTGTCCCCTCTTCTTCATGTCTCTTCTACATCAACATGTGTCCCCTCTTCTTCATGTCTCTTCTACATCAACATGTGTTCCCTCTTCTTCATGTCTCTTCTACATCAACATGTGTCCCCTCTTCTTCATGTCTCTTCTACATCAACATGTGTCCCCTCTTCTTCATGTCTCTTCTACATCAACATGTGTCCCCTCTTCTTCATGTCTCTTCTACATCAACATGTGTCCCCTCTTCTTCATGTCTCTTCTACATCAACATGTGTCCCCTCTTCTTCATGTCTCTTCTACATCAACATGTGTCCCCTCTTCTTCATGTCTCTTCTTCATCAACATGTGTCCCCTCTGTGTAAAGAGACTCTGGAAGTTTCAGGAACAAAGATTCTCTCTCTTTTTGTCCTGATCCATTTCTATAAAAACCTGTCTGAAAATGAGCTGATCAGATTTTGGCCACTTTATGATGTCATAACGATGTTTTGTCTTGTGTAACCATTAGCCAATCACCAACCAAGGTACCCCCCCCCCACCTTATCACCTGAATCTCCTCCTAGAGCACCATTGAGTTCTTTGTAACCAAATATATCTCAGAGGGGCGTGGGGAGGGGCTCCTTATTTTCATCTAAAGTAACAGACAGAGAATCAGCACTTTGGAAACAGGGCTGAAACAGAGGGGATTATGGGATGCTGCAATGATCTGTTTGGTGTTTCAGCCAATCAGAGACAGGCTCTGTATATATCTGAGACCTGTAATATATTGATGAAAAACAGTATAGGGGACTTTTAATGATCGTTTCAAAAGTCAAAAATACTAAGCATGTTGTGCTTACAGCTTCTTAGTCAAGAGTATTTGTTTGTACATTTAAATACTGTACATAAAATACTTTGAGTACTTTTTTTTTTAAATGTCTAATTCTTCTATTGAGTGTTGGTTTAAGAAGGTAAGAATGTGTCAATACATGACGCGTTTCCTCATACGTCAACATACATTTCCTTGATTCAAAGCAACAATAGTAGTTCTCCGTGTAATGAAATATAACAAAAAGATTGTGGTCCAAAGACTATACTGCTTCCCTGTCTAATCACCCCCTGCCATATAAAGACACAGTGTTTCCCACAGAATTTGATTCTATTTGTGGGGGCACCGCACCCCCCCCCGCACCCCCCCCCCCCCCCCCCCAACCTTCCGATCATCAGCCCACCTCACTATCTATTCACAACATTTAAATAAAAAAATATTATTATTATTATTTATTTTTTATGAGATCCATTTGTGGCGGACGATATTTATTTGTGGTGGCCCGTCACAAATAAATCAATGTATGGGAAACACTGAAGACATGTCTGGCACGTCCTCCCTCACAGCGAATATTTGAAAGCAAATACACTTAAATTAACCTACTTAGTATCTAAATGAACATTTTTTTAAACCCTATTCTAATTCACAAAAACGAAAAGTTAAGTCATTTAAATCTAAATGCATTTAACAAATATTCAAACAATAATAAATTGAAGTAAAATGGCTTGAATAATTATCGGGTTAATCCGAATGATGCCACCTCTCACCTTGGAGAGCAGGAGGAACATGATCTACTATCCAGATTACTGTAATATTTCAAATCAAATTTCACGATTATTTCCCCCCAATGAAAGCATGAACCTCTCACCTTGGAGAGCAGGAGGAAGCTGTCAGAGTTCAGCACTTCGGGTGCGTGTCGGTCCATGAAGGCGCAGCAGGCGGCACTGAGAGCACTCAGAGAATAAAGGCTGGCCACATCGAACACCGGGCAGACGTTGTTGATGTGCAGGATGGTGCGGAGGAACTCGGAGGTGGAGTCCTCTAGTGGCTGGAGGCCGTAGCGGTGCGCCAGGCCCAGGAAGTCCAGCAGAACCTCCTCGCGGGCCGAGCTGAGGCTGGCCCGGCCCGTGTACAGGTAGTGGAGCAGCATGGAGAAGGCTTCGGTCCGCGTCTCTTCCAGACACACCTCCGCCTGGGGCTGGGACTCTTTCATCCCGCCGTACAGCAGGGCCCTGAAGCAGACACAAGAAGAAAACATATTTTAATCGTCCGTCAGTAGGGGCTTGGACTGGGAGCCGTAGGGCCGCTGGTTCAAGTCCCTGAACAGACCTAAATATGGAGTGTGGACTGGTATTTGGAGAGGTCCCAGTTCACCTCCTGGGCCCTGCCGTGGCACCGGACACCCTCCTTCCCCCCCCCCACTCCCCATTGCTCCCCCGGGCGCTATCTATCCATCCATCCATCCATCCATCCATCTATTTCTCTATCTATCTATCTATCTATCTATCTATCATACATTTTCTTAAAAACGGCCCTGAAGAAGAACAAAGTGTTAATATTTTCATCAGTGGTCATTCATTTTCTTAAAAAACGTTTTACAGTGTTAATCTTTAGGTTGTTTGTTAGAGCAGTTTCCTAAACAGATTTTTGTATATTTACATTTGGTGTAAATACTTAACACTAACAATACTAGACTTAAAGGTCTCCTATTATACTATTTTTAGGCATATATTATAAGTCTCAGATATATAAAAAACATGTCTATGATGTGTTTTGCTCAAACAGATCCCCCATTCTAGCCTCATATTCCTCTGTTTCAGCCCTGTTACTAAAGTGCTGATTCTGGGTCAGTAGATTTATATAAAAAAATAGCTCATGCAGGAAAATTCTTCCCAGATACTCAGCTAAATGCTGCCGTGATTAAACGCCATATCATGTTCCAAACCACATCAAGGATTACTTCTGAAACAGTATGGAGCTCAAATGCTTTCTCTCTCTTATTTCCTGCTTCTTCACACATGCTCTCCAGTACAGGTTAGCTCTGAGTGTTAGTGATGCTAATGTAAACAAAGACCATATTACGTCCAAAACAGTCGGACATTGTTTCTGATAGCAACTTTCTGATAGGGCCGTGGGTGTAAAGCCAGCCCACATTTCAGATATTACGTCATATCGGACGCAAATCTGGATCAACTCCGTTGTTCCCCCGTTTTTAGAGATTTGGGTACGGAGGAAAAGAGAGAGGGTTTTATTTTCTGACTCTGCGTGAGTTCCCTGACACACCGGGGACACATATTTATGTATAAAAGACATCAAGAAGTGCATTTTGCATGATAGGAGACCTTTAGAAAAGGATGTGTAGGATTGACAGAAGATAACCAGTGCCAGACACTATGTTTTTTTTTGTTGACATTTGTACTTGCCTGAAGTAGTGGCATCGAGCAGCCAGGATGACCCTGTGTGCAGGGAAGCGCTTCCCCTCCACGATGAAGGTGACATCGCTGTACTCCTCTCCGAGCACCAGGGCGCCCAGCTGCTCCGACAACAGGTGGATGTGGTCGATCTCCGACACGGAGGCCAGTGGACGCAGAGGGTGGCTGTTACTCATGGTGGACAGCTGCCAGACTCACATCTAGAACAGGAGGAAACGTGTCAAACTGAAAGTAAACCAGGCCTTTGGAAAAAACCCAGAGGCACAGCATTTCATTTGACAATTTGTAGCTCATCTAAATCTATTTTACTTGTATAAAAGGTAACTTCTCCTGCACTACTTGCACTTTCAACAATCTCTTTCACTATTTTATTTAAACTCTGTTTCTTCTTGCACTATTTGTATTGTTTTTTCTACTGTTTGATGTCTTTATGTTGCATCGTTGTAGGATCCAGTGATACTATTGTCATTGCCATATCTAAACTGTGACTGTGCATATGACAATAAAGCCTTTGAACAGTACAACTGTAATGTATATGCCATCCTATTTACTTTGCACAAATGTTATTTAAATACTATCCTATGTACTTTGCACACATTTAATGCACATACTATCCTATTTACTTAGCTCAAATGTTATATTTATATTATCCTATGTACTTTGCACATCTTAAATGTATATCCTATGCATTTAAGTTTCTGCTACTGTAGTATATGTCTATATGGATGTGCTATATACTTTGTGATTTATTTTCCACTGTAGATATGTATATGTTTGCTGTTTATGTTCATACTTTATTCTACCTTTTAAATATGTGTATGCCTGAACACATTGCTGCAGTAACAGACGAATTTCCCAATTATCAATAAAGGGATCAAAGTATCTATCTATATCTAACAGTAGCTAGCTTAATGCTAACTAGAATACCATAACGGCAGGTGTAAACACGTGTAGCTAACTTAACGTCACAAACCTGAATATAAGCCAGTGTATGTTCTTATTTTATAGCGAAAAAACGGCATTTGGCAGGTTATATAAAGAGTTATTTAGCTGATAGTTTGAGCTTTTTCTTGTTTACAGTCGCTGTCATCTGACACCCGAACAGATGCTAAGCTAAGCTAACAGATTCATATATATCTAGTTTATGATAACAACGTGCTTTAATCTCCTTTTTCTGTCTTCTTTCTGAGTTTCAAACTCACCGAGCTGCACACGGTCACTCCTGTGTTGAAGTTTAGAGGATTTAAACGAGGATGTTTGTCCAAAATATGAGAAAATTCAGCCCCAAATTCACAATCCTTCCAACATCACACCAACCGGAAACCACTTCTGGGTCAACAATCAAGCACTTCCGGTTCGCGAGACAGTTTTCAAAATAACGGTCCCTCAGAATAGATAGGCAAGGCAAGGCGGGTTTATTTATAGCGCCTTTCAACACAAGGCAATACAAAGTGATTTACAAAGATTACAAACCGTAAGAGCCTTCAGAAGATAAGATCTTTATTAACTGGTTTATCTCAAAACTGTAACTGGTACTCGATGTGTATTTTGTAAATCAAATCAAATCAAGTTTTATTTATAAAGCACATTTAAAAGCGATTTTTGGTCGAGCCAAAGTGCTGTACATGTAATAAAAACACATTACTACAATCACAATAAAAGACAATAAATTACAACAGATATATATAAAAAAATTCCGTAAAATGTAATTTAAGTACTTTTATCTTTAATATTCTGTTATGCATGTTTCTTTATTAATATTAAGCTATCTTTGGCTCTTTACTTGCTGTAACAAATGTGCATTTTGATCTGATTCTGACGAATTGTACTCACCATAAATCAGATTTAAACATTAAAGGTCCCCTATTATACTGTTTTTCATCAATATATCATAGGTCTCAGATATATACAGAACCTGTCTCTGATTGGCTGAAACACCAAACAGATCATTGCAGCATCCCATAATCCCCTCTGTCAGTTACTTTAGATGAAAATAAGGAGCCACTCCCCACGCCCCTCTGAGAGATATTTGGTTAAAAAGAACACAAAGGGGGGGGGGGTACCTTGGTTGGTGATTGGCTAATGGTTACACAAGCCAAAAAATCGTTATGACATCATAAAGTGTCCAAAATCTGATCAGCTCATTTTCAGACAGGTTTTTATATAAATGGATCAGGACAAAAAGAGAATCTTTTTTCCTGAAAATTTCAGAATCTCTTTACACCGAGGGGACACATGTTGATGTAGAGAAGACGTGAAACAGTGGATTTTGCAGAATAGGTGACCTTTAAATCCGTGTGCCAAAATCCAAATTATATGATGATAAAAGACAACAATGTTTTACGCCCACTGACTTTAACCATCATGCATCTCAAGGTTCAAGGCTTTTATTGGTCATGCTTACATAGCTACAGTGTAGATATGACAGTGGAAATCTTAGGTCACAGGCTCCTCCAACAGTGCAACACAATAAAACAGAAAAAATAATGCAAGTAAATACAAAAAGAAAAATAGTAGAAAAGTGGAATAGTGCAATAAGAGCATCTCTGCTTCTCTTTCCTTTGTGTGCTCAATCTTTAAGAGTCTCAAAACCGGTTGCTTTCTCAAAATAAATGCATTATCTACTTCTTGTGTTGAGTCACTTCCTCATTGTGACTTTCTTCCTCATCATTCCTCTATTCTTACTCTCAAGAGCATCATTTCCTTTTCTAACTCCTACAGTACATGACATGACATCATGGGACATTAATCAAAGTTACTTTAGGATGTCCACAGTTTGCACGCATCCAGCTGAATAATAGGTCATTTTACATCATTAAATACTTTAATAACAATATAGGGAAAGCTAAATAAAACATACATGATCAAATTATTGCATATCAAACAATTACAGATGAAACTAAAGAACAGATTCTGCATTTCTTTGCATATAACATAATTACTAAAATAACAATATGAAAATACATACTATAGCATAAGATGAGCAAATCCATCACTGAGCACACAACTATTGTACAGGAAGTCTATCTGTCACGTATTGAGGTCATTTATATATAAAGCAACCACCCAAACATGCTAAGTATAACTTCCCCTTTTTTCTTACATTGCACCACTAGTCAAACGGTACATCAAAATGAAGCTTTTTATATGAATCCATCCTGAAAATGATCATGAAACCATTAACAGAGATTAGAAAAGGTGTGATGGCGTGATTGTGGTTAGGAGATGGTGTCGTAGAGGCTGTTGGGATCATTGGTGGAAGCTTTCACAGTCGAATAAGTCACTGCGTCACCTTCATCTGCATCGTTCTCAATCTTAACCTGGAAGGAAATAGCACAATATAAATGACTGCAGGACTCTAGAAGACAACAGTACGAAGAAACATCATTGATAGGCTACAGTAAAACAGACAACATGACACACACAGTGCACAATGTAATAAAGCACAACAAAAACAATGTGTTATGTTTCTTTACAGACAGCGTACCTCAGCTTTTTTGTTGGTATTCTTGGTGTAGCTGATGGAGGCGTAAGAAACTCCTTCTTCAGGATCAGCCTACACAGAAAGGACAAGATAATAAGTATTCAGTAAGATATTACAGCACATTTTTGTTGTTGATTTGACTTCCCACTTCTGGTTTTACACTCATTTGCTCTTCCTGTGCAGTGCAGCTACACCGTCTAACTTCCCATATTTATCTTTATTGCACATTCTCACACCCATAAGGCCGAACAACCTGAAAGATAATTATGATTTGGAGAAAGAAAGACTTGTTTCAGTGAGTGAACTCACTGTGGCCGGGTTGGTCTCTGGAGAATTCACTGCAGGGTTTGAGGTCTGTCCCTGGACAACAAGCATTAAACACTTCAGTTAATTCACATCGTGGAATAATACAAACACCATCAGTTTAACATATTCAATATATCTTTGAACGTTTCAGAGGACTAACTCTGTTCATTTTCAGGTTCATGTCTCTACTGGGACATGTCTCCATGCTTTAATGTTCAAAAAGCTCTTTATTTTTCTCATGCTGCAGCACCTCTTTTCACCCTCTGTCTGAAACCAGAGCCCAGTCTGCTCTGATTGGTTAGCTAGCCGGCTCTGTTGTGATTGGTCAACCACTTAGAGATGTCCCGCCAATTATCCTATTAGGTAAAATGTATTCCAGCGCAAGCCAATAGTAGCGCATGTGTTATATAGTGAGGTGAGGTGTGTGGGAAAAAAACTCCCTCACGGAACACAGGGATTTTAGCCTTTGCAGACCATTTACATGCACTAAATCCTATATAACACACTACAGGAAAAGATGATTATGATGTCCTGTATTCATTTATGAGGGTTTAATGTAAGGGGCTCATGTTAAATAAGCAAATCCCAAACATTAGTTTACAGCCCTTCTTGCTTTTCCTCCTAATCACTTCCTTTGCCTTAGCGAATGCAACCCCTTTGTTTAATGACAGCACAGTCACTAATGGTTATGAAACACTTGCTTTTTTTCAACTTTAAATAGAAAATGATATTTGAGAACTCACAACACTGTCACTTTTCCGTGCTTCTTTCCCTGAAAAGACAAACAAAAGGGGGTTGACTTTAATTTCCACATTCTACATTTGGTTTTATTAAATAAATGATTGTTTACAAAAAGTGTCATATATGTTTTCTCACCTTTCATTTTCCTCCATGTGATGAAAGCCACAATGGTTGTTAGAAGTGCTACGAGAACCAAAGCCAGAACCATGTACAACCACCAATCTGAAACGATAATAAATGGGCGAAATTTGAGATGAGGTGAATAGCGGAGATACTTACATTACATGTAGATGTTAAAACATGTATTTGTCACTTTATACCAAATCAAAGTTACTTTTGGTACAAAAACTGCATCCCAAAAACTTGTAATCTGCAACTAGTTTCACAAAATAAACCAAAATCACTTATTTAAAGGACCAAATACTAATAATTCTCTCCAGAGATTTCCACCGCAGCTCAAAGTGGAGATGTGAAGCACCACAAAAAAAAACTAAATATTTGAGGTACCATAGAGTAGTTTTGTTTCAGATTGCTGATACTGTCTAGTTTTTACCTGTTTTTTTGATGGAGTGACTTGATGTAACTGTTGGTGTTGTTGATGTTGTTGCTGCTTGTTCGTCCCCATCTGAACAAGATGAACACAACTCTTCAGAAGTAATATGTTTACCATATATTGTGAGGTAATATTTCAACTTAAAGCTCCCATGTCATGCTTTTCCGGTTATTACCCGTCCGTCTTCAGAAGTAATATGTTTACCATATATTGTGACGTAATGTTTAAACATAATTCAATCAGATAAACACCCTTTTTATGTAATTTTTCGTGTAACTTTGAAGTGACTTTAAACAGTTTGATCAAACATGTTCTCACCTGAGGACTGAGGCCTGAAGGTCTGCACTTTGCCATCAGCTGTTACTTCACAAGTAAATAACTCAGACCTTGGTCTGTAACTAAAATGAGAAGTCGGAAATATCACAGAGGCATAGCAGGAAGACTGTGATGTCTCTATCTCTCTGTGATCTTTATCCACATCTTGACCCTGAAGCAGCCACTTCACTGTGTGTCTACAGTCTCCATATGTCGACACAGAGCATTGTAACCACATCCTATCCTTGTCCTGTTGCTCAGTCACTGAAGATGGAGATATTGTGAGAGAAAGATAATAATTAACTTCACCACTGTAATAATAATAATTATAATGTTTTAGTATTTTGCTCTACAGAGAAAGTTTGGAAACATTATGATGTAAATACTCACTGGTAACAACAGACAGGTAAACCTGAGAGTCTGAACCTTGTTGTTGATTTGCTTTGTTGTACTGTCTGTAGGTGTATTGACCAGCATCCTCCTCTGTGACCTTCTTTATAACCAGAGAACAATTCTCTGTAACTCTCAGTCTGTCTGATTTAGCTCTAGCTTCTTCACCAACCTGCCCACCTCTAACCAGCGCTGCTGTGCTTCCTGAATCACTGAAGAACCAGGTAGTACCATTACATTTATCCTGATCATCTATCACATAGTTACACGGCAAAGTGACTTCATCTTCAGCTCTGGCAGAGAGGTAGAGGAGATGCTGTCCAATTGCAGCCCCTGAATAAACAAGAGAGAAATATAAAGAAAGCAGAGGAAAACATTTTTTTAATTTAAGATACAACAAAAGTTTCCCGATGTGTCTAAAAGTTGCCTTCCCCTCGTTGGAAGACAAACTGACCACTTCTCTGTCTTGGTTAAAGGAGGTTAGGTAATAAAGTAATATAAATGATGAATAAATTACCTTTTATAATGTTTCTAAATATATACATGTTGTAGGAATCCTTACCTGTAAACTGAAGCAGCAGAATAAGAAGTGAACACATTTTAATCCGTTTTAACTCGGCCATCGTGTCTCTTGTATTCGTGTAAGTCTCTAGACTGGCTGCCTCTTAAAGAGAAATGTTGAATGTACTTCCTATTATCAGAAATGTGTCACTTCCTCAAAGTAGCTGCGTCTTCTTTTCTCTTATACGTTTCTCGTTAATTTGCCTCTCAGCATCGACTCAGTCAAGATCAGCACATGTCGCTTCCTGTGGGTTTACTGTAACATTCATATAAAAAACATAACCATATAAGCACATTTTCATCTATATCGTTTTACCAGCGGAGGGATGATACCAAGAATATTTAGTAAATCACATTAAAGTTACTTGTAATTCACTTCCAGATTATAAATGACATCTCCTTCCTGTCTAGTGAAAAACACGTATTTCATTATTGGTGATATATTTGTTTTAAACTCATGACAACTTGACTGTTTAGAGTTACAGTACATGGTTGTCAAAGGACAAAGCTACAAACATGATGATTTTATAGAATATGATGCATTGCTGGAGATTAAATATCCAACTATCACAAAAAGGCGGGAAAAAACAAAGACAGGAAGTGACGTCAGAGATGACACAAGGACAGTGTTTTACAAAATAAAACAGGAAGTACAAAGAGCAAGATCATGATAAAGACACTGTTAGTAGGAACCACAGAACACAGTGTAGAATTAAGATTAACATTTATTATTTGCAGATTATATTGTGAACAGGAATAACAAAGAGAAAACTTACTTTCTACATTAAGGCTGAAAACCCATTCAATCACATGGACATCAAAACACATGTTTTAACAGCTAAACTAAATGAAAGTGGATTAAAATGATCTTTCTGCACACAGAGATATTAAAATGAGCTCAAGCTGCTGTAGCTCTAATAGCAATCAGTACATCTTGAAATCAGCTCTGAGACCTTCAGCTGGAAGACAATATAAGGAAGGAAACAAGAGCTAAAAGCTCTTTACAGTGACATCCAGTGGTTTATTAGATCAAGACTAAAATGAAATAATATGTAATTCAGAATGATTATATAATCTTCCACTCCTGATGTGAAACACGATGATAGATGTAGACGTTGTTGATCAGTGGAGTCTGATGGAGGCAGAAGTGTTGCTCAAACTCCATCAGGAGGTCTGATGTTTTCATAGTTCACTGTACCATCATCTACATCATAACGCACCTGAGGAAAACAACATCAACACTGAGTTGGTTACAAAGGAAGAAAACACAGTTCACAGTTTAATCAGCAGACCCTGAACGCACCATCAGTTACCGTCTGATCTGATTTAATCTACTGACTTCTGCACAGTTTGCTTTGAAACTAGATTTCATCCTGCACATTATTCACAGTAACATACACATTGTTTTCTAATACAACTAAACTATTAGCATTGCTAAAAGCCACTAGTGTTAAGGTGGGGAAATCCTCTGTGATGTAATTCAGGGGAATCAGTCCTTTAATCTGAACTCATCATGTTCAGTTGTTACTGACAGGTTCAAAGAGGTGTTGATTCAGATCTATGGTCTCTTTGGAGGCTGTACTTTGTGTCTGTGTTTATCAGTTTATAATGAAGAGACAGTAAAAACACTTCAGTATTTAGTTGTAAAACTCACATTGATTTCATCCATCTGTGTTTGCTTCTCTGAGAGGAAAGAAGAAAAAGTTGACTTTACTTTCCACAATTGAAAAAAAGTTTAAGTTTCATCTGTGAATGTTCTCACCTTTAGTTCTTGTCCATATGCTGACCGCCACAACAATCATTATGAGAGCTGCTAAACCCACAGACACCAGGATGTGCCTCAAGAAACCTGGAAAGACAATATAATTGTTTTAAAGATATATATATTTTGTACATTTATTTATTTTTTAAAAGAAACAGAGATGTTTTGAAATGTATCTACATGTAATCACGTTGAATGCCAATCAGTGCAAAGATGTGATGTGATTTCTTAACAAAATGTATATCATTTAAAAACCAATTAAGTCTTTGATTTAAGAGAAAGATTTTTAAGTAAGCAATATTCATATATAAATATATAAACCAAAGTTGCTTTTGTAACAAAAACTGCATTCAAAAAAACATAATCTGCAACTAGTTTGACAAAATATTCAAATAGATTCTCTCCAGAGATTTCAACTGCAGCTCAAAGTGGAGATGTGAAGCACCACAACAACATACTAAATATTTGAGGTACCATAAAATAGTTTTGTTTCAGATTGCTGATACTGTCTAGTTTTTACCTGAGTTGTTGATGGAGTGACTTGATGTAACTGTTGTTGTTGGTGACGCTGCTTGTTGGTCCTCATCTGAACAAGATGAACACAACTCTTCAGAAGTCATATGTTTATCATATATTGTGACGTAATGTTTAAACTTAATTAAATCAGATAAACACACTTTTTATGTAATTTTTCACATCACTTTGAAGTGACTTTAAACAGTCTGATCAAAA